CCAAGAGGGCCGAGACAAGAAAAAGTTTGGCTTGGGGGAGTTTGATATTTCTATTTTATTTAGTATTGGTTGGTTTAGTATATTATGTTTTGCATGCAGTGTTCGTTTATTGAATTGCAATCTTGATATCATAAGAGGTTCGACAAATTCGATCAAAACCTTAACTTCGCGTTTTACAGTAATTTGGCCATACCAATTTTGAAAACACTTGAGATAGCAATGATTTATGAGAATATTTATCATACAACCTGTTGTATCTTACAAAGCATAATCAAGGTACACATGCAGGCAGACGATCTTGACTGTACGGTTGTACGTACCATGCATAAAAGTATGACCATTTGTAGAAAGAAAATTGTTGTGTTTCACAACTGAAGATAGAAAATTAAATGTATGAGCAATGATCAAATTCTAATTGTATAAGATAGGAATCATTTGATTGAGTATGAGCAACTCAAAAGTCAAAGCAACCCATACTATTGAAATTAAAATGAAATGGGCCTATGGGCCTATTATTTAGGCTTATGATGTAACTAAGAATCGGCCTACGAAATGAAAAGTGAGAAAAGGCAGCCCATATATTTATGCACCACTTTTTTTCTTTTTCTTTTTTTTTTCTTTTAAGGAATATTTAGGAAGATTAAAGAAAGTCTTGATTTAGGAGGGAAATTAAGTCAGTAAAGGAGTTAAGTCTTGATTATCAGGTTACCAGTCATAAGGTTTTTTTTTTTTTTTTTTTTTTGAGAAAATATCAGTCATAAGGTTTGTTAAAAGAATATGGGTTTAAAAGTTGGGATTATTATAAATTAACTTAAAAGTGGGACAATTATAAGAAGTTGAGTAAAAGGTAGGATTATTAATTTCAATTATTCCAAATATTTATGCACCACTTAAAACAGAACTATGGTAGCTATAATAATAATATGTTATAAACTATGTACGAAGTAGTTCATATGTAAAAAGAACATTTTAGATGCAACCTGAGTATAAGTAATGTATTTTTGCCAAGCTAAACTAGGCCTAAGAAAGGAAGTACCTTCTGATCTTTTGGTTGGAGGTTCATTTTCCACTAAATATGTTTTGGTGTAGAGAATTTCCTTACCTTGCCCCTAATCATTAAAGGTCTTGTTTGCTAATCCCAGCTAGGTTGATTTAATCAAGTTCATGAGAGGTTTTTTGGGCCTTTCATTAACTTATTTAATGATGTTTTTTATATATCTAATCAACATGTATAGATACGGTGCTAAAAAATGCAAACAATGACAATGACCATGTGCAACATTATACATTTGGGCCCTTGATTCTAGATTTCTAGATACAAAATCTATTTGGTACAAAATTGTACCATGCATAAAAGTAGGGGTATATATAAGTAAATCATAGGTAATACCTCTATTAACTTTTATTTGCAACTTTAGGGTATTATTTGTAAGACATAAAATATTCTAAAGTTGTAAATAAAAGTTAACGGAGGTAGTACATATTATTTCTGTGTATCGTGATAGAATATTATGTACCAAATTTTATCTTTCAGGGGCCTTATTTAATCGCTTACATTACTCAAGATCTTAACCATCCCTAAACATGCGTCTAAAACTGTCATTTGGAGCTACAGTCAAATGAGTCAACAGAAAGAAGGCTCAGTCAAATATCAACAAGTCGTACAATTTATCAATTTACTACGGTGGTATTTACTATTCCACAATGTTCAACATAATGTTTTTTTTTTTTTTTTTTTTTTTTTAACTATCGTCAATACATATACAATATAAAAATACAATTATCTAATTTTGAGTACAACTTATACTCTTGTACACTTACGTCAAAGTGTGATTTTATTGGTCAAAATAATATCTTTGGTGTAAATGATTTATTTTTGTGATTCACATGACACAATTATTGACACATGACCATTGAACATAGCTTGGGTGTCGGCTGTGAGCAAGTGGTTCCACCAAAAAAAGTACCACAAAGAAAAAAGAGATGGAAATGAAAAACATAAGACCATGGTCATCTTACATGAAAATGGAAGTGTTGAAAGTCAGTTTTGTTCCTTGAAGAGTTACCCTCCTAAAAGAGTCATACCATGTATTATTGTTCATTAAATGCAAACATCCAAAAATCTCTTAGGCTTAGCTGTCACAATCGAATTTATTAGTAAGGGTATGTTCTCTATAGCTTAATTTCAATTCAACTCCAATTAGTTCAGTTCAGTTTTTAATTTCCTTCTCTCATAAACAATTCATTTCAGCTCTATTCAGTTCAGTTTAGTTTAGTTCCTAATTTCCTTCTCTCATAAACAATTCATTTTAGCTCTATTTATTTCAATTCAATGGACCCTAAGTGGTTATTAAACCTATTCATACCTTTTTGGCACCCTTTTCAACTAGCCTAGCTACTTCATGCCACCATTCCACCCCCTCTCTAGCTCTCTAATGTCTAATCTGCTGTGGAAGCTTCCTCATTATTAACATGTACATGGTACAATAGAAAATTAAGATTATTAGATTACCTAGGTAGATAATTTATCAATGTAAAATCAATAATCTATTGATTTGTTACGTTCGTTTTTAATATTCTGCTCACAACTGTTAGTTTTTGTTTCTATGAAAGTTTGAATAAGGTGATTAAGTAATAATGAAAAAATAGAATAAAGTAAGATACATTGAAGAAATTATAGGTTTGAAAATGTAAATGAGGCTAAAAAAGGGTTGATAAAGTAAATGATTGTGAAAAGGGTTGATAAAGAATGATAATTTGGTTGTATTTTAATTGTACATATTTCCACTTTGGTTGTCCAAAATTCCATCATTCTTGCTTAAGAAATTATAAATATCATCCTATATCAAGATATATTCTCCGATTTTTTTTTAAAAATAAAGTATCCTTGTATGTACGCAGTTGTGTTTACAATAGCAAACAATTGAATGATTGCAAAGTGAGTTTTTTAAATACTACATTTGTGGTTTTATATGCAACATTATTTGGGTATCCAAAAAAAAAAACTCTTAGAATATTCAACTTTAATTTAAAGGATATTTTGGATTTTAACACTTACAAAAGGCTGAAAATGTTTTTTAACACCCCCCAAAAAAAAACTTTTATTTTAACACCTCCCAAAAATATAAAAGTTGGAAGTTAACACCAAAATCCATCTTCCGTTAACAGAACTGTTAGTGGGGCCCACCCCAACGGATATATTTTTAAAAGATCTGTATATAAGAACCATTCTTCCACGATTCTTGCACGATATATAAGAACCATTCTTGCACGATTCTCCCCCAATGAACGAAATTGTTGTTCTTATTGAATAGCAGCAGCGCATTGCATTGTTGCACGATACTTGAAACAATTCTTTCACGATTCTTCCACGATTTTTGAGAAGAGGAACAGATTGAAGCTGCTGAAACAGGTGAGTGCGGTCAATTGTTCGGTTGTTTGGTAATTATGGTTTAAATTCTCTTCAATTATTATTTGCAATTGTTTCGTACTCAGATTAATGGTTGGATTATGTTATGTACGCATCTAAATGCCCAATTGCGAAATTAGGGTTCGTCAGAAATTGAATTTGGGGCTTTTCGTATTATGAAATTAAAAATGAATTTTGTTGCTGTCAATGTTAATTCGTCAGTGTACAAATCTGACGAATGTGACTGTCGATCTAAAATTGATGCAGATTATGTCGTTTGTTAGCTCTTCCCCTCCTGAGGCCAGAAAATGTAAGTGTGGTGTGCCAATGGCCAAGCTCACTAGCTGGACAAGGGAGAATCCAGGCAGGAAGTTCATATCATGTAAGTTTTATGACCCAATAACAGAAACAAGGGGTGCAAAGCTTTCGAATGGGTTGATCAACCTGATGGAACAGATTGGCAAACAGGGGTTATCAACAACCTGTTGTTGGATAAGAAGCTGCTAAAGGGTGAAGTTAATGAATTGAAAAGGGAAGTTGATGAAATCAGTGGCCAAAGGAGGTGCCTACTTAATGAAGTTGATAATTTGAAGATGAGATGCAAGGCCTTGAACGCTGACAGGAAGAGAATGAACAGGGAGTGCAATGAAGGGAAGGTGTCTTCAATCAGCTGTTTTGGTTGGGTGGGCATGGCCATTTGTATAGGTTTGTCAATGGGTGTAATTTTCCTAATGGCTAGGGGTGTGTAATAGTAAGCTGTATTAAGTAGTTATAATTTCTTGTAATGACTTGAAGTGTTATAAATATGTCTTTTAATCAACCTATTTATGCCTTGTCTAAGTTCCTATTTATGCCTTGTCTTTTAATCAACCTATTTAAACATGTGAAACATTAAAACATGGGAAATATGTGAAACACTAAGATAGTTCAAGTACAGGTTGACAAAAGAACCTTACTTCAACATGTTTCAATGGCAATCAAAGCCATGCAACCATTACAATTCAATATCTAATTTGTTCAAATTTGTTAAGGGAAGCCACTAAAAAACTAGCAAGTTACATAACCAGTCATGAGTACATAATAAAAGTTTGAAATTGTTCAACAGACATAATGTTTGATATCCAGCATGAGTACATCACTGAGTAAGGTTGTTGAGGGATTGCAGCCTGGCCCTTGTTACAACACCTGTGGCTGTTGTAGGCTGACTTGAGGAAGACCTTGTCTTTCTTTTTGGTTGGCTTGAGGCAGGCTGACTTGAGGAAGGCTGAGCTGAGGATGGCTGACTAGAGGATGGCTGAGCTGAGGAATGCTTAGCTGAGGAAGACTGTGGCTGTGGGCGCTTGCTGAATGGCAGACAACCTTCTTGCTCTTGAGGAAACTTTTTGTTTCCTATGCTGTTTGGTCCAGCCCCAATTGCACTCTATGACATGCATATAAAAATAAAAAGTCAATGGAAAAGACACATACATATATAAAACAAAGGGGAGTTGGTGTAATGCTTGTGTTACCTTTTTAGCAGCCCTAATCTCTTTCTTCTTCCTCTCCTCCACCATCCAAGGAGTGTTCAGTGGGGGTCTGCCTGCTGACTTTATCAGCTCTGTAGCTGGTGCAGCAGGTACTTTGCAAGTCTTGGCATAATGCCTATATCCCCCACAGTTGCTGCATTGCTTCTTCCTCTTGGTACTTGCCTGACCACCTGAAGAAGAACATTCTCCTGGCTCAAGCTTCCTTTTTTTGCTCTTTGGTCTCCAGGTTGCACCTTAACAGAAGGGGGTAGTGGTTCCCTCATTCTGACTGTCTCCCAGTGCTTTGGGCCAGGCATTGGTTGGACAGCTGGTTCATAAGCAGACCTGTATGTGTCCATGGTATAGTATGGGTCAACAACAGCCTCTATGTCACCCCTCATATCCAATATGCAGGCATAAGCATGAACACATGGAATGCCAGTGAGTTCCCAATGGTAACATGTGCAGGTCTCCTTGTCCAAATCAACCAACACCTGGTCATCCTTCAGCTGCACCTCAAATGTATTCCCTCTGGATGGCTGCACCACACAGGACCTAGCCACAAAGTCTATCCTCCCCAGAACATGCCTCACATATGGCACTAAGTTGTGTGTAATTGTTTTTGAATCCTCCCACTTTTCATTATTCCTGTTCATAATATACCTCCTCATCCATTCCATTTGGGTGAGGATAGGTTTATCTCTGGCAGGCCTAATGACTGCATTGAAAGTCTCACACATGTTGTTCAACAACATGTTGGACTTGCAGTTTGGTGTGAATGCATGTCTAGACCAATGGTGGGGAGGAATGTTGATTAAATACTCATATGCCTCTTCATCGAGGAATTTGATAGACTCCATGGCAATTTCATGCTCAAACTGACATATAAAAGCATACCAGAAATCACACCAAGCATATACAAGCTAACCAATATAAAAACACACCAACAGTCATATAAAAGCATAGGCTAGCTTCAACAATCAATAAACTTACAATGGTGGTGGCCCTAGCTGCTCTCCAAAACAGCTCCTTAAAGGTTGATCCAGTGAAGTTGAGCTTGAAGTTAGCCCAAATATGCCTCACACAAAACCTTTGCTCAGCTTTGGGAATAACATCAGCCATTGCTTTAATCAAACCCTACCAAATGCAGACAAAAGTATAATCATCAGTCAATCACATACATACACATGAAAACTTAGAAATTGAACCTAAATAGTTAAGAGGGAAACAGAAGCATTACCTTTTGCCTGTCAGACATGATGGTCAGCCCAGCTCCTTGATCATGTGTGAACATTGACATAAGGGATTCCAAGAACCAACCCCAAGTTTCCTGGTTTTCAATCTCCACTGTGGCCCAAGCTAGAGGAAACAAGTTGTTATTCCCATCCTTAGCAACTGCCACCAGAATTTGCCCAGGAAAGGCACCCTTGAGGTGACAACCATCCAACCCTATTAAAGGCCTACAACCCTTTGCAAATCCATCTCTCAATGGCCTTAAACAGATGAACATCCTCATGAACAATGGTGGCTCTGGCCTGTCAATACCATCAACAACAACATTGCACCCTGAACCAGGGTTGTACTTCATCACAGCTTTCCCATAATCCCACACCCTAGCATACTGCTCCCTAGCTGAACCAAATATCAGTAGTTTTGCCCTACACCTAGCTAGCCATGCCTTATAGTAACTCACATCAACTCCTAAATCATTCAAAATCCTAGCCCTAATCTCCTTAATTCTCCAACCAGGGTTACTCCTAAACTCTTCTAAATACCTCTCTGCTATGTATTCAGCAGTAAGCATCTTGTTCTTCTTTACTCTGAAGCAGGAATGGTCTAAATTCAAGGTTTTGATTTGCCAAGTTTGCTGCTTAACAAGTTTTGATGCAAACACCTTGAACTGACACTTTACCCCCCCCACACATGTACAAGCAGGCATTCTACAAGTGTAGCTATTGAACTCACAGCCACATCTATATCTACACTGAACTGTAATCCTTTTACTGTCATTATGCAAGTAGTAAACTCATACCTGTTTTGAATGGCATGAAGTCTTAAGGCCCTCCTCAAGACTGAAGCATTACTGAATTTCTGATTTAACTTCAACTTGATTGGGTTGTCAAAGTCCACATCAGCATTAAACCAAGGAGCATAGTCCTGTTCCTCATCAGATCCACACAAACTCCTTGAATCATCTGAATCAGCATCACTTTCTGGATTCACCTTCGGTTTTCCAACATCCAAATCATTTCTCAACTCTACTCTCTTATCTTTGCCAACCCTGTCATCTACTGCACTCTCCAAACCTTTCCTAAGGCTCTTGTTCACTTTGGCCAAGATCTCCTTTGACCCTTCAATATACCATTCCTCATCCCCTTCATCAAATTCTTCTTCACCAGGTTCCCAATCTTGTCCCTCATCACTCAAATCTGAACTTGAATAACCAGATCCTTCACATCCATCATCCTTTTCTTCATCAAACCTCAACACTTTAGCATTAGCTGAGGCTTTCCTAGGTGGACTCTCCTCCCTTTGTTCAGTTTCTGTCTTCTTAAACCTAGGGCTCCTCCTAATAGTCGATGTATTTGAACTTTCTACCTTCTTATCCTTTTTTTTTGTCTTTGCAGGATTGGGTTGGGCCTCTTGTATGGGCTGACTAGGAGCTTCTGTTGTTACAAAAACCTCAACATACCCCTCTTCATTTACTGTCTCCAAAAGGCCCTTAACCTCTTCACTGTTAACTAGTTCCCTTTTCCCAGTGTTAAAGGTTTTCCCCTTCTGCCTATACCAACAGCTGTAATGCATAGGCACATCCATATCACCATTAACAAAACCATGAATTGCAGCTGTTCTAATCAAATGCACATCCAACTTAGATACTTGAACCTTCCTCTTCCAGTAACACCAACCACCACACCAACACAGCAGCTGCCTGTTTTTGGTTACTCTTTTAGGGACAAAAGCACCTCCCACTCTAAGGCAGATGTCAACCAAACTATCCTTGTCACCCATTATCTACCCACCAGTGAAAAACATATAAAACATATTAAAAGCCATGTAACTATACATGCACAATACGAATAAACAAATCCATCACAGCCACACAAACAAACACATAAAAAAATTGAAAATAAACATATACAAGCCAATGTAGGTGCTCAGTAACATAAATTAATCAACAAACCACACTTGCTAGTTTAATTAACAATAAACCACCTTAATTAATCTCTACTTTCAATTACGAAATCCAATTAACCTAAGTCGCATAGTCAGTTACAGAAATTGATTTATCAAGGCTTTCCTACTGTGGTCCCAAAATTTACCCTAATTACCCAATTATTGCAAGGTTTACAGCAATGAAGCACCAGTAATTGACGAAATTGCTATCAAAGGAGAGCAATTTTACCTTATTTTCTGTGAATTTCAAGCGGCTTTCGCACTTTTGTAGTTGAAGAAGATGATGAAGAAACCCTCCTGAGCTTATCTTCTCCAACGTTGACACCACCCTACACTCCACTTCTCAGCCAAGATCTCCTTTGGTTCAAAAGCGAAATCAATGAAGGTTCAGAAAGAATTCAATGCAGAAGGTTGCTGCGAATTCAATGAAGAAAGAAGTTTCGTGTTTTGCTGGGTGAAAATTGAAGTTCAAGCCAATTTGTGGGACCCACGTTAAATTTCCGTGACGGAAATCGTTAACTGGTGTTAACTTCCAACTTTTATATTTTTGGGAGGTGTTAAAATAAAAGTTTTTTTTGGGGGGTGTTAAAAAACATTTTCAGCCTTTTGTAAGGTGTTAAAATCCAAAATATCCTAATTTAAACCTTCTCACTCAACAAAGTTACCAAAATATCCTTGAATATCAATTATCAATTGACCAAAATTACACTTGATATATCGTTGCATGTCCATACCAATTATATACAAGGGTGCCCTTCTTGTATTAAATCTTTTTTTTAGAACTTTAAAATTAACACATATCTCTATTGAAATCCTATCATACTCTATGAAAACAAATTAGAGCACCAAAATTTTAAGTGAAGAGCACCAGATTCGATTTTCTCAATCTTTGAATATCACTCATCACACAAGTAGAACCTATTCCTATCCATCCCACTCTAAAAAAGAAGACCAACATTATTCCTATTTCCCTTAAAAGTTATACACAAAGTTTGAGAATAAATTTTTGGTCATACTAAAAATATGGTGTATATATAACATAAAATGCAAATCAAAAATCAATCCTAAAAAGCAAGACATTACAAGGACAATTCACCTTTCTGTTGATGGCTAGGGAAAGACATCAGAAAAATAATTGGCCCATATTTTGGAGCGCATGGTAAGGCATTGATGGGGCAGTACACAACAAGTATCTTTATTTGTTTG